TATGCATCCAGTGTGTGCTCAGCACGGCGCTATGTGTTTGCTGCAGGAAAACAATGTTCAGTCAGGTCTGATGTTTAAAGTTAAGCAACTTATTTTTATATTCATCGGTAACAGATTTATTGTGTTTGCTCAGCACCAGACTAGATAAAGCATGGTTTCAGCCTACACAGAGAGGCAGGGGGATCTTCCAGGGCAGGGAGAAGGGCAAGAATAAGTGAAGGAGGAAAAATTGTGAAAGTCATTTGTTTGGTCCAGTATCCCTTTGTCGAGGGTCCATCATGTGTCAACAACTGTGCTATAGGATTTGTATCAGTACCTTACAAGAGACAGGTATCTTACGGATGTAAGAGCATTTCCTCCCTTTTAGAGATACGGAAACTTTGAGAGGTTAAGCTCTTTGTCGATACTTGTGAAGTCATAAAACTGGGGTTTGAACCCAGGAGTCCTTGTCCCCAGATCCAACCTTCATGCAACCACATTTTGGCCGCTACTGCATTTCAGACGTAATATTTGACCTTCCCTGAGGTCACTGCCTCACACCTCAGCTCTATGTCCCCTGCTATGTGAATCAGTCCTGGGACTCACAGTTCTCCTGTTGGGGCACAATTAAGTATTGTTTCGAGTTCCCACAGGAGAGACCTGCCAGACTGCGGGCTCCTTGTGGTCTAAGGTCTTCTGTACCCTGGCACAAAGTGATTTTTGAATAAAGTGGACTTCTACCCTGGTGGTTATCACATGGTGGTGTAAGTGCTTTGTGTTTTAGCTCTTCTATTTGTGGCTTCTTTACTGCTCTCTATTGAAATGTGTGTTTGCTACATGAGTGGTTATCTAACACTTTTCTTTTTCTCTGAGTGACGGTGAGACAAAATATTGTCCTGCAGTTCAACATCTATAACATTACAACATCTATAACATTAGCTTTGAACTGATCTTGTATCAATGTGTCTATCACTATTTTTTTTTTTGTGCCTGAACAGGAACATGACTTCTATCACTTTTGAGCCACTGTTTGTGTCTGAAATAAACTTGAATCTAAAATGGTAGGAGGATAATCTTAAATTTATTTCTGACTGTTTCTAGGTCTGTGGCCTAAAGCTTGTGATTTTTGTTAAGGATGTAATCTATAGGAAGGCAAATTCCATCCTTTTTGTGATGTTTTGGGTCGCTGTGTTCTGCCACTAGAGGACAGTATCATCCATCACTTCCTGTCTTTTGTGCTAAAACCTTGCACAGTCTGTGCTAAGTGCTGTGCTGAGTTACTTCAGCTGTGTCCGACCCTGCTCATCCCTGCGGACCGTAGCCTTTCAGGCTCCTGTCTCCATGGGATTCTCCAGGCAAGGATGCTGGAGTTTGGTGAGTGAGAAATCATTTAGGGAGTTTGCAGAAAAAGTGTTAGATGCTAGCAACTATAGTAAAACCCTGGAAACATTGCCATGTTGCCAAGAGACTGGACTCTGGTCGAGGGTCGGACTGCTTGCTCTGTGACCTTATGTGAGCTCCTTCCCTTGCGCGGCCTCTTGGCATAAGGTGAGGGGGTAGATCCCGATTAACTCAAAACTCTTTGGCGTCTAAATTTGACAAAAAGCAAACTGGTAGAAAGGTCTTTTGATGGCATTATATGGAATTCTATTGTACTTCTTTTTAACCAAACTCCTGTTTCTGGATATACAGGTTCGGCCACCTGGTGTGTAATTCCCTCTTTCTTTTCATGGATAGTTTATCGTATTTTGTTATAAATTCATTCTTATATATGATGTGCTTCTCACCTCTAAGGAAATTGGTTTAGAGTTTGTGCTTGGTTCACATGGAAGGCAAAGAAAAACTCACTTTAGCCTCCTTTCTGCTCAGCATTAAGAAGCTAAACCACTTAGAGTTGACCTGAGCTGTTGTGCAGCAGAAATCAACACAACATTGTAAAGCAATTATCCTCCAATTTAAAAAAAGGAAAAAAAAAAAGAGAGAAACTAAGCCACAACCACTTTTGAATATTACAGCTATCCTCATCTAAAAAGAGAGTTTCTTTTGCATCTATGGCTAATGCTAATTAATGGTTCATCACAAGCCCCTGAGAAGGGAATGGCTACCCACTCCAGTATTTGTGCCAGGAAAAATTCAGGGGCAGGGGAGCTTGGTGGGGTGCAGTCCATGGGGTCACAAAGGGTCAAACACGACTAAGTGGCTAACACTTTCACAACCAACTTACACTATATGAATACTTTGCCCCCAAATAAACCTTTATCCATTTTTAGGAATGAATAAAAGAAGCCAAGCTTCAGGGAAGATAAGTTCTTGAAATCTGACAGTTTCCAGATAATGTCAGAATATGATTGCAAGAAAAATAATATGAAATGTACATTAACATAAATCTATAACTGCTCAACTTGATGAAAAATATCACCATAAAACTCTGCCATGACTGAACCACCCAATATGTTTTTCTCTATGACATTTTGTGAGAATGAATAAATTATCTGAGAATGTGTTTGCATCAAACATACAGAATTTTGTAATAAACACATAAATCATTCAAGCATTTTCCAGAAAGTTGCCTGATCCAAAAAACAGGGATATTCATATTACTTTTCTCCCTTCCAGCTTCTTTCTCAGTATAGTCCCTTAGAGCTCTGGATAGTAATATAAACCCATCAATTATGGAAGTGTAGGAAGAGAAGACACAAAGAAAATTACTCTCATTAAAGAAGTTTTCCATGCAACTTACAAGCTGAACTTCTGTGAGCTTTGTTTTCACCGAGGTCCCCTCTGCAGTCTACACTGGGGTCTACTTTTAAAAGGGGCTTCCCAAGTGGTGCTGGTGGTAAAGGGCCCACCTGCCGATGCAGGAGACGTAAGAGCCGTGAATTCGATCCCTGGGAAGAGGGCATGGCAACCCACTCCAGTCTTCTTGCCTGGAGAATCCCAAGGACAGAGGAGCCTGGTGGGGTACAGCCCATGGGGTCATAAAGAGTCGGATATGACTGAAGCGACTTAGCACGCATGCACTAGTTTTACAAAAACAGCCATATTTTTCAGCCATGGTACCCAGATATCAGCCATCATCCTCTATAAAACTGGCCGGACTAACTTAACTCTGAAAGATGTGGTCTTGTTGTACTCCTTGAGGGATTTCTTTACTGTTTTCTTACTTGGGGCAATTGATTTTCATGAAAAAGCAGGCTCTCCCTTTTTGAATAGACTGCCAGGAAGATCGAGGCAAACTAGTAGTTTAAATTTAATAGAATGCAATGACTTGTGTCTGAGAATCCCGAATTGCATCTTTACCTTTGTCTGTCTCCATATTTCCTACAGTTTAAAACTTTTTCTGCTACACCATGCAGGTTTTTGTTAACTACTCCAACATTTGTGAGCTAAGGTGAAGTATAAATAAATAGATGAAGGCATAGTTGTGAGTTGTGATTTATAATGAGAAATATATATTTGATCTTCATCTCTGTGTCTGGCACAGAACTCCTAAATCCTTTGGAATTTCCTAAGTGATGAGAGCTATCTAGGTGTCTTTTGTAATGTTAAGGAGATGACTTTCAGATTCTACTTAAGGATGGGAGTTGGTTGTCAGTGGAGTTGACCATGTGATTGGAGGGTTGAAATTTACAGTCCCCCAAATCTAAACCTACCCCCACTCCAGGAAGGGGGAGTGGCTTGAGATTGAGTTCAGTCGCCAATGGCCAATGATGTAGTCAACTGTGTCTACATAATGAAGCCTCCACAAACTCCCAAGAGTTTGGAGCTTCCAAGTTGGGGAACACACAGAAATTCAAGAACCATGGAAGCTCCCTGCCTTTTCCCAATATCTCCCTTCTGTGCCTCTTCCATCTTACTGTTCCTAGGTTATATCCTTTTATTGATACATTGGCAATTTAGTAAGTAAAATGTTTCTCTGAGTTTTGTCAGCCACTCTAACAAATTAATTGAACCCAAGGAAGGGGTGGATGGAAGCTTCAATCTATAGAAGCACAGGTGACAATCTGGGTTCATGACAGCATCTGCAGTGGTGAGGTGTGGTCTGGTAGGAGGGAAACCTTCACTTGTTCATCTGATGCTGTTTCTGGGTGGACAGTGTCAGAACTGGATCGAATTGTAGGACACCCAGCTGGTGTCCAGAGAATTGCTTGATGACGTGTGGGTAGGTGGGGGAAGTGCCCCCTGTGCATGCTGGAATTGGTATTAGAACCATCTGGATTGTCACACAGACGTATTAATATATGTAGCTACTGCTGCTGCTAAGTCGCTTCAGTCATGTCCGACTCCGTGCGACCCTATAGACAGCAGCCCACCAGGCTCCTCCGGCCCCGGGATTCTCCAGGCTAGAATACTGGAGTGGGTTGCCATTTCCTTCTGCAATGCATGCATGCGACCCCGTAGATGGCAGCCTTCCAGGCCCCTTCCTAGAACGGTGGTCAAAGAAGATTCTGCTGTCAAAGAAATGAAGCTCCATGTCTACAGTGGACTATTAAAAAAGAGAAGAATTGTGAAACCCATTTCTTACCTTACTCCCCGGACTCATTTCTCCATAAATGGCTATGAAGGTTCTACTATGACTTAGGACCTCTGTATATAGCAAACGATTATGGTCTGCCTTGGGGTCCCTCTGTGCTCTGTGCTCTGAGCCCTTTCTCTGTCAAGAGGCAGGAAAAAACTTCTATATAATTCATGGGGTCTTCTAAGGGCTAATGATATTAGTACATCTGTTACTGAAGGAAAGCTGTAAATCAAGTGCTGTGTACATCAAATGCATTTCCATGTTCAAGGACTCAACAGCCACTGATAGGAAAGCTTCCCTATTTGGGATGGTTTAAAGGGGTCTAGAGGGCAGATAGACAGGGATCAGTCAGGTTATGGAAGATGGAGAGGAGAGATGGGTCGGGAAACAGCCCTTGTCCCCTGTGTCTGCTTATGCAATTCAACTGAAGAGTCATAAAAACCCTGGTGATTTCACATTTCTAGAAGAGGAAAGTAACGGCTCAGAAGGTTAGGTGCCTCACTTAAGGTCACACAGCCAGGGGGAGGCAGAGCCCGGGCGTCAGCTACTCTCGTTGCTCCTTCCGCCTTGCTTCCCTTTGTGGGCATCTGCTCTTGGGCCTCCAGGTCCACCGTTCGTCTGGTCCCCTCTGCTCCACCTTCTCTCCGTCCTGGGGGACCAACCAGGACAGGCAGCCAGGCCCTGTGGTTTCTGGTTGGGTGCAGCCATTGGGAAGTCCCAGCAGGAGACCAGAGGAAGTTTGGAGGGGGAGGTTGGGGTGTGTATTCCATTCATTCCCACCCTGGGAGGTCCACATGGGCTGGGAAAGGAAAGGAAAGTAAGGAAAGTGAAGTCGCTCAGTCCTGTCCGACTCTCTGCGGCCCCATGGACTGTAGCCTCCCAGGTCCCTCTGTCCATGGGATTTTCCAGGCAAGAGTACTGGGGTGGGTTGCCATTTCCTTCTCCAGGGGATCTTCCTGACCCGGGGATCAAACCTGGATCTCCTGGCGCTTTACCCTCTGGGCCACCAGGGAAGCTCACATGAGCTGGTGACGTCCCTCAAAAACAGTCACTGCTCCTCTCAAGGTGACGAGCACCTTCTTGTTTTCTGTGGCTGTCCCCTCATCTCTGGGTTGGGGAGTGGTGATAATGCCACCGCTGTTGGCCCTAGTGTCTGCATCATCCCACACCTCACATCCCCAACACCTCACATACCTTAGTAAACAGTTCCTTAATAAATAAACCTCTTTAAATTATCCTAATTTGGATGTGCCATCTCTTCCCTCTTAGGGCTCTAGCGATTACACTTTCCCATGAAAGAAAATCTGATGTTAGTAATGTGTTACAGAATATAGTATTGGACACATAAAATATGAATTTGATATGTTTCAGTAACTGGGAAATGTAAAACACGGGACTGTCATCTTTTCCAGGCGGACATTGTAAAAAGAAGAAGGGGACATTGGGTGAAGTGATGAGAAAAGCTATAATGTATAGGAGTCAATTAAGTTACTGTGGCTATCCTCCATTTGTGCTTCGAGCACTGCTGAAATTGATTGTTTCCTTTCAGCTTCTTACCTATATCTTCATCTCCAAATTGAGTTTCTTTGCCTAAAGCTTTAAAAATCTGTTTTCATATTAATTAATCAATATTTTAAAATTAGATGTCTGTCTTTCGATTTTACAAGGGTATGCTTAGAGAAATAACTTAGCTATGTATTTGAGGCAAGAAATATATGTTTCAAAGCAATTTCTTTCCAGATTGTACAACATGGAATATGACTTGTCACAGTCAACTTCCTCATTAATAAGGTAAGGTGATAAAAAGGCATAAGATGTGAGAGAGTCTTTCCAAAATTAGAAAACCTTATTAGGTGAAGGTTAATTTAATAGATAACCTTGTTGAGAAAAATCTAAAAATATACAGATACATTTCAAACTTTGTGATTTGACTTTACCTTTAACATGTTGGTTTCTGATATCCTTGGAAATGGGCTTTTGCACCTGTAGAAGACAATGCATTACAATTATCTCTTAAATTGTGACTATTCCATTTCGTGACCTGCCACTCACTCAGTATGGTTAGATCCCTAAGGTTATGAGTCCAGGACTCATCATTCTTAGAGATCACCCTGTGTGTATGGCTAGCAACTATTCAAAGTATGTAAATACCCCCAAGCCAGTGACAAGTGTAGTGGCCTCAGGTGGTAATTTGGCGTAAGAAACATTTGGTTTGAGAATCAATCCTGCCTCTTATTGCAGTCAAACTTTGGAAAGGCATTTACCATATTGTGAACCTTAGATTTTTTTCATCTTTTTTAATAGGGAAAACGCTATTCATGTCAGTCCATGTCACTGAGTTATTGTGAAGGTCAATGTGCATGGTCAAGTCCATGAAAGTGATTGAGCAGGCAGATCAAAGTGCAACCTGTGTAAATGCCCCTGTTGGGAAATCACCTTCATCATGTGCTGGCTATGAGAACGTGGCCAGTCATTTAACTTTCTAAACCTCAGTTTCTTCAGCTGTGAAATGGGGGCAACATAAGGACTGATACTTCACAAGGATGGCAGGACTGCATGAGATCGGCTATGTGCCTAGAACAGGAAATAACATCAATCAAACTGAGAAATTGTTAGCTGTCATTGTTAATTGTATTAAAGGCATTGATAGGACTTTCCTGGTGGTCCAGTGGTCAAGACTTTGCCTTCCAATGCAGGGGGTGTGGGTTTGATCCCTGGTAGAGGAGGTCAGATCCCACATGCCTCATGGCCATAACACAGAAGCAATACTGTAACAAATTCAATAAAGACTTAAAAAAAAAATGGTCCACATAATAAAAAGGAAAATCACCACTTAAAAAAGCTAAAGGCAGAATTGAACTATTAAGGGCTTGCTGTATAATCTTTAGATATGAGGGTGAAGGAGGTGATGTGTGTTAGTAGTTCAATCTTGTCTGATTCTTTGTGACCTCATGGACTGTAGCCTGCTAGGCTCCTCTGTCCGTGGGATTCTCCAGGCAAGAATACTTGAGTGGATTGCCATTCTCTAGAGGATCTTCCAGAACCAGGGATTGAACCCAGGTCTCTTGCACTGCAGGCACATTCTCTACCATTTGAGCTGCAGGGAAGTCCTGAAGAAGGTGATGGAGACATACTAATAATGCCCAATGCCTTGGAAAGACTTTAAGCCTAGGTCAGCATTGGGGTCTATGATGATGTTTAGTTTTATGTATCAAACTGACAGGGTCACAGGGTATCCAGATATTTGGTGAAACCTTATTGCTGGGTGTGTCTGTGAAAGTGATTCTGGATGAGATTATAATTTGGATCAGCAGAGTAAGGCAGATTGCCTTCCACAAAGCCAGTGGGCATCTTTCAGTCCATGGAGGTCCTGAATAAAATAAAAAGGGAGGAGAAAGGAGAATTTGTTCTCTCTGCCTGACTGTTGTCTTGGGTCATTGCTCTTCTCCTGCCCTTGATGACTGAGATTTACATCATTGGTTCTCTTGGTGCTCATGCCTTTGAACTTGAGCTGGAAGTTAGAGGCCATTGGCATTCCTGGTCTGCAGCTTTCAGATGGCAGATTGTGGAACTGAGCCTCCATAATCACTAATTTATTTATGTGTATATGTCTATATGCCTATATGTCTTGAGCTTTCTATCCTATCTATCTATCTATCTATCTATCTATCTATCTATCCATCTGTGTATCTATTTTATCTATCTAGTGGGGGCTTCCCAGGTGGCTCAGTGGTAAAGAATCCACCTGCAATGCAGGAGACACAGGAGATGGGGGTTCGATCCCTGGGTCAGGAAGATAACCTGGGGAAGGAAATAGCAACCCTTTCCAGAATTCTAGCCTAGGAAAGTCCATGGACAGAGAATCCTGGTGGGCTATAGTCTAGAAAGTAACAAAGAGTCAGACACGACTGAGTACACACATCTATCTATTAATATCTATCTATCAATCAATAATCTATCTACCTATTGCCTATGCTTCTAGAGAACCGTGACTAACATAGAGTCTCAGTAGTATACTTTTTTGGTGCCAAGTTGAGGTGGTCAAGTGAAGGGGAGGAAGGGCCACTGAACCCTGTTTCCTGTTAGGTCTTGGTGTTCAAAGCCTACCTCTTCTCCTCTGTGGAACACTGGACCACGTAACTCTGCCTACACATGATGTGGCTCTTCTGCTGGTCCATGTAGTCAAGCATCAAGTTTGGTTCGGGTTTGTTATTGCTGTGGCCTCCTTCATCACACCCTCAGCTTCCAGTTCCTCCAGGGAGACCCCACAGAGGCTGGTGTGCTGCAGGGTTTTTGTTAAGATCTTGTTGCATCCTCAGCTTTCAATCTTTTCTGTGCACCTGCCCAGGAGAGAGGGTCTCTCCCAAAGTTCTTCCCACCCCCCATTGCTAGCCTGGAGCAGGGGAGAACCTCCATAGTCTCCGTCTTGCTGGGCCCCGTGTGACTAGGGTGTTAGGGATCAGTCTTCCTTAGTGCCTGCTCTTCTCCCCTTTGCTGGCTAAATTCTACTTTTAAAAATTAATTAATTTTTAAATGAAGTATCAATCCTAAAGGATATCAACCCTGAATACTCATTGGAAGGACTGATGCTGAAGCTCCAATACTTTGGCCACCTGATGCAAAGAGCCGACTCACTGGAAAAGACACTGATGCTGGGAAAGATTGAGGGCAGGAGGAGAAGGGGATGACAGAGGATGAGAGGGTTGGATGGCATCACCAATTCAATGGACATGAACTTGGGCAAACTCTGGGAGATGGTGAAGGACAGGGAAACCTGGCATGCTGCAATCCATGGAGTCACAAAGAGTTGGACACAAAGTGACTAAACAACAACAACAACAATAGGTAATTTACAACGTTGTGCTAATCTTTGCTGTATGGCAAAGACTCAGTTATGCACCTATATGCATTTTGTTTTAATATTCTTTTCCATTATGGTTTATAACAGGAAAGAAAGTGAAGTCGCTCAGCCGTGTCCGACTCTTTGAGACCCCATGGACTGTAGCCTATTAGGATCCTCTGTCCGTAGGATTTTCCAGGCAAGAATACTGGAGTGCGTTGTCATTTCCTTTTCCAGGAGATCTTCCTGACCCAGGGATTGAACCCGGGTCTCCCGCATTGTAGGCAGACGCTTTACCCTCTGAACCACTAGGGAAATCCTTGTAACAGCATGTTGAATATATTTCCCTGTGCTATACATTAGCACCTTGTTGTTGATCCATTCTAAATGTAATAGCTTGCATCTACCACCCCCAAACTCCCAGTCCATCCCCTTCTCTCCCCCCACCCCCCTTGGTAACCGCAAGTCTGATCTCTGTCTGCGAGTCTATTTCTATTTTGTAGACAGGTTCATTTGTATCCTACTTTAGATTCCACATACAAGTGATATCATATGGTATTTTTCTTTCTCTTTCTGACTTACTTCACTTAGGATGATAATCCCTAATTGTAGCTGGCCATATTCCATTTTGTGTCTTTGGACATTTGGATCCATTTGGCTCTTTTGCACGAGAGTTTTTTGGCTGCATCTTCTCCAGAGGGACCTACACTTTGATGGTATTAGCATAGGATCCCAGGCCTAGAAGTATTTTATGCCCCTCCCTAGGGCTAGTCTCATTTTCTATCAAATACAGATTTTCTAATGTCTACTATATACCTGTAACAATGCTAGATTATGAGGGAACGAAGAATAAGAGGTTAAATGCAAAAGGTGGACGCATGGATGCAGTTCTGAGTTTACAGCACGTTATAACCCAGGTTTCATTGTAACAGACCTCGGCTCCGTTCAGAGCTGGGGCCGGCCAATTTGCTGTGGGAGGCTGCCCTGTGCGTTTGCAGCCTACTTAGCGGCATCCCTGCCCTCTGCCCGCTAGATGTCAGTAGCGTTCCCCAAGTCTTAACAACCAAAAATGTCGCCAGTCATTGTAAATGTCCACAAGGGGGCAAAATGTTCCCAGACGAGAACCACTGATAACAATTAAGGTATTATTGGTGAAGACTCCTTTGCATTGCTTCCTCCAGGAGGCTTCTCAAAAGCCTCTGGTTGGTCTAAGTGATGGGGCTCCCTGCTCTTTGTATCTTGTGTCACCTCAGTCTTAACACCTTGTATTATTATTTCAAAACTGCCAATTTGGGCCACTGCCTCCTCCGTTAGACTGGACACTGGCTCCTTTTATTTTTTAATCCCCACTGTTGAGCATAGCACTTTGTACACAGCAAGTGCTCAATAAATGAAAAGATGGACAATGGTATAGAGCTTTAAGATAGTTGTAACCAGTCTAAGGGGGCTTCCCAGATGGTGCTAGTGGCAAAGAACCCATGTGCTAATGCAGGAGACAAAATTATAGACTCGGCTCTGATCCCTGAGTCAGGAAGAACCCCTGGAGAAGGATATGGCAACCCACTCCAGTATTCTTGCCTGGAGAATTTCATGGACAGAGGAGCCTGGTGGGCTACAGTTCACAGGGTCACAAAGAATCAGACACAACTGAAGTAACATAGCATGCATGCATGCAATCAGTCTAAGGAATCAACATACAAGAACTGGTTCCTGTAAGGACTGTTGAAGATCCAATTCACAGATAGTTAAATCACCACATCATGTGCAAAACTAATTGGAATTAACTCCTGAGAATGAGGTTATAATAAAAAAAATCTGCTTACCATAAAAAGTGGATAATTCAAACATTAGTTATAAAGGCAAAACTCCCTTTTTTATTTGAATTGAGGCCAAGTCCTTATTGAATTAATTTATAAGACAACTTCCCTCCTGGCCAAAATCGTGCTCATCTCCCACCTCCTTTTTCTCACAAGATTTCATTTGACTTAATATGTTGAGATTATAGTTCCACTTGTAAAGTGACCTAGCTAAAAGAAGAAATTTGTAACAAAAAACTACAAAGATAATATGAAAGGATATAAAGTAGTAAGAATGGAGACTTAAATTCCAGCATAGTCGTTTATGAAAAATCAAATGAGAATTATCATCTTTTAAGAAAGCATTGTTCTTATGAAAGTTTACTTCTATGCAAAGAGGAATTATCAGTGGTTTTTAGTGAAAGAAAAGCTTAACTTTTTAGGTCAGAATTTTCTACTTTTTATAACCAGACAAGAACTTGTGACTTTAGCCTCTGGCCCAGTGACTCTGAAATTCCTATTGTCCCCTCAATATGTTCCGTGCTTTAGAGATGAGGCTCCTGAAATGCCCTCTTCCCTGTCTAACAGCGCACTGTTGGGGCCTGCCACAGTTGTACATCTCAGAGATAATTGCAAGTATTCACATGTATGGATGTGAGAGTTGGACTATAAAGAAAGGTGAGCACTGAAGAATTGATGCATTAGAACTGTGGTGTTGGAGAAGATTCTTGAGAGTCCCTTGGACTGCAGGGAGATCCAACCAGTCGATCCTAAAGGAAATCAGTCCTGAATATTCACTGGAAGGAATGATGTTGAAGCTGAAACCCCAATACTTTGGCCACCTGATGTGGAGAGCTGACTCATTGGAAAAGACCCTGATGCTGGGAAAGATTGAAGGCGGGAGGAGCAGGGGAGGACAGAGGATGAGATGGTTGGATGGCATCACCGACTCCATGGGCATGTGTTTGAGTAAACTCTGGGAGTTGGTGATGGACAGGGAAACCTGGCATGCTACAGTCATGGGGTCGCAGAGTCGGACATGACTGAGCGACTGAATATGACAACTTTGAAGGACAGACTAGAGAAAGTTTCCATGTGAACAGAAATCAGACTGGGTCTTTTTGAATTATGTTTTTTTTTTTTTCAGGATACAGTATCACCAGCTCAATGGACGTGAGTGTGAGGAAGCTCCAGGAGGTGGTGAAGGACAGGGGAGCCTGGTGCGCTGCTGTCCAAGGGGTCTCAGAGAGTCAGACATGCTGAGCAACTGAACAACGACAACAGGACATATGCCCCATAGTGGAATTTCTGGGTCATACGGTAGTTCTATTTTTAGTTTTTCAAGGAAAATCCTTACCGTTCAGCATAGTGGCTGTATCGATTTACATTCCCAGCGACAGTGCAAGAGGGTCCCATTTGGTGCTCTGCGGTGATGTTTAGATTGGTGGGATTGGGGTGCGGAAGGGGCGGATATATGTGTACATAGAGCTGATTCACTTAATTATACAGCAAAAACAAACACAATGTTGTAAAACAACTTTACCCAATATAAAAAAAAAGAAATCAAACTGGGGAAAGAAGACCGGGTTTCTTTTCCTATCAATATTTCAAGCTGTGGAGGTGATTTAGTTGCTAAGTTGTGTCTGACTCTTTGCAACCCCATGGACTATAGCCTGCCAGGCTCTTCTGTCCATGAGACTTCCCAGGCAAGAATACTGGAGTGGGTTACCACTTCCTTCTCTGGGGATCTTCCCAACCCAGGGATCCAATCCGGGTCTCCTCCATTGCAGGTGGATTCTTATTACTAGCTGGGCCACCAGGGAAGCCTTCATATTTCAAGCTAGTCATATTTCCAATTTCAGTTCAAATAACTGAGTTTGTCCATTTCCATTCACGTGCAGTGTGCTGTGGTCAGTCGTTTCAGTCATGTCCAACTCTTTGTGACCCTATGGACTGTAGCCCACCAGGCTCCTCTGTCCATGGGATTCTCCAGGCAAGAATACTGGAGTGGGTTGCCATTCCCTCCTCCAGGGGATTTTCCTGACCCAGGGATTGAACCTGAATCTCTTATATCTCCTCACTGGTAGGCAAGTTCTTTACCACTAGCACCACCTGGAAGCTCTTCCATCCATGTGACCAGTATCTGCTGAGAACCTTTTACATAAAGCCACTGTGCTAGATGCTGGGGCTGAAATAGTCCTTGTAGTTACGGAGGTGTCATCTGGTAACTGATTGCTCTCTGCTGGGCACTGTGCTCTGTATGTATTGTCATGAAAGCTATGATATTTTATCGCTTAGACTGTAAAGGCTCAGGGAAGGTAAGTAACTGGCCCAAAGAAACAGAGCTCATAAAGTTGGAGCCATTAAAATGAGAATTATAACATTCATCTTGCAAGGTTATTTTAAGGATTAAATGTCATTCATTCATTTATTCCCACCTTTCCTCAGAAAGGCCTTTCCTGATTGCCCTGCTTTCACTCTATTTTCAAAGCTCATCACTTGATATATCGTCTTTGTATCTATTATTTATCCATTTACATATCATAGGACTCCATCCACTAGATGTAAGTTTCATGAGAGCAGGGCCTTGGTGGTTTACTGCTGCATACCAGAGTGGATAATTGTGTCTGGTCCATGGCAGGCACCCAACGTATGTTTCTTAAGTGAATTTGTTGAGTGAATGATTAAAATGTTTAGCTTAGTGTCTGTGTAAAGAGGAAGTGTTCAATATTTCATCCCTTATCTTGCTCTCCTAATCTCTATTGGTTGTGTTCTGTGTGAACAACTTGGTAAAAATTGTAGTTTCCTTTTCTTGTCAATATTTAAAAGAAACCCTCTAGTTAAACGAGTAAATCATTTGCATAGATAATGCACAAGGATGAATGTCTTATAAATATTTAAGTGTGTTCACAGTCACTAATAAATGTGAAACAAATTTTAAAGAAAGAACAGCAAAATCTCTTTCTCTTTTTTAAAAATTATAATTAAAAAAATAATGCACAGTTTTGGAGAGAATCCTATGAGGTGGAAATTCTAATACCGGGCTTCTGGGAAGGTAAATTGAAATGATTTTTCAGGCAGTAATTTCACAATATGTACCGAAAACCTTTAAAATGTTTTCACTCAATGGTTAAATAAAATAATTAAAAATCTTATATGATTAAATAAAATAATTAAAAATCTTATATGAGGAGCGAAGGATCTGTAACGATTATGCTTATTGATGCTTGTTTTATTACATGGGAGATAGTTTTATGACTGAAACAATGTGCTAAGGATGGAAAACCAGTATATACTATACAACAAAGACTTCCTTGCATGAAATACATTAGCACAGAAAACACTGACATGAAATTTACCCAAATATTATGACTGATAGCTTTGCAACCTCAGGGATGGTTAATTTGTATTTTGTGCAATGTTATTAAAAATAAAATACTGTATGTGTTTAGAGCACTTACATTTACAAGATATTTTCAACAGCTTTTTGAAGTGAGCATGGCAGAGATTGTTGCTCCTGTTTGGCAAATGGGTTTACAAAGAGGTTCAGAGAGGTTGACCATAGTCGTCCCTCATATCTGCTGGGGATTACTTCCAGCATGCCCCTTGAATACCCAAATCTGTGGATGCTCATGTCCTTCATATGAAATTGCAGAGTATTTGTAAATAACCTATGTACATCCTTCTGTATACAGTGAAACTCTCAATGGCATGGGTTTGAACTCTGTGGGTCCGCTTATACTCAGATTTTTTCATCAAGTACATACTAAGGTACTACAAAATCCTTGGTTGGTTGAATTATCTCTAGATTACTTGTAATACCTAATTCAATGTCAATGCTATATAAATAGTTGCTGGCATGTGGTAAATTCAAGTTGTGCTTCTTGGAATTTAATGGAATATATATATTTTTAATCCTTGATTGAAGCTACAGATGGGAAACTGACAGATATGGAGGGCTTATTACCACACCATTAGCAGCTGGAATCACTGGGCCTAAATCTGGACAAAATGATATGTTGTTATCGAAGAGATTTGAGTTTAAATTCTGCTCCCAGAGAACAGGATGAGTATTAAGTGAGATGCAGGTGAAAGTCCTTAGCCTGATGCCTGGCTCACAGAAAATGTTTCACAAATGTTAGTTCTCTTCCCTTCTATGTACCTATTCTAAGGACCATGATCCCTTGAGCCGAATCACCCTTCCCCTCACTGAGCTTGACCTGCTTATCACCAAGGCATTCCAACAAGATGCCTTGGAAATGAGAGTCGGTAAAGCTCTTGGTTGCTAGGCAGTGCGCTCCATATGTTTGGTTCGCGCAGTCAAGCTTTTACTTACTTCTTCCAGCTTCATCCAGGTTTGCCTGTCTGTGGGGAGAGAGGGCTTGGAATCTAAGGACAGGGGTGTGTCCATCATACCCTTGAAATAGCGTGTATCTGTGAAAAAAGAAAAATTATTTAAAGTCATACTTTACATGACTCTGCACACTGTAATGGACAAAATATTTGCACATCTACAAACTTACTGAACCATCATAATATAGGCCGCCGCTGCTGCTGCTGCTAAGTCACAGCAGTCGTGTCCGACTCTGTTTCCCCATAGATGGCAGCCCACCAGGTTCAAGTCCCTGGGTTTCTCCCGGCAAGAATACTGGAGTGGGTTGCCATTTCCCTCTCCAGTGCATAAAAGTGAAAAGTGAAAGTGAAGTCGCTCAGTCGTGTCTGACTCTTCATGACCCCATGGACTGTAGCCTCCCAGGCTCCTCCATCCATGGGATTTCCCAGGCAAGAGTACTGGAGTGGGTTGCCTTTGCCTTCTCCACATAATATAGGCATGAGCATGAGTAATTCTACTTCCACTTAACAGACGAAGAGACTGAGTCTCAAAGAGGAGAAATCACTTCTCTTGGTCCATATACATAAATGCCAAAGTTTGGACGTGAACCTTCTTCATTCTCTTATCCACCTGGGAAATTCTACTCATCCTTCAAGGCTTGGACAGTGTAATACCCTTCAAAAATCTTCCTAGACCCCACCCACCTGCACACCACCCTGGATCTCTTTTCTATGTTACACACTTGTGTGTGCTTAGTCACTCAGTCATGTCCGACTCCTTGCGACCCCATGAACTGTAGCCCACCAGGCTCCTCTATCCATTGGGGTTTGCCAGGCAAGAACAGTGAAGTGGATTGCTATGCCCTCTTCCAGGGGATCTTCCCAACCCAGGGATCAAACCCAGGTCACTCACATTGCAGGCAGATTCTTTACCATCTGAGCTACCAGGGAAGCCCATGGATACTGGATCGAGTAGCCTGTCCCTTCGCCGGGGGATCTTCCTGACCCGGGAATAGTACCAGGGTCTCCTGCATTGCCGGTGGATTCTTTACCAGCTGAGCTACCAGGGAAGCCCACATTACATACTTAACATACATATTTTATACTTAACATATATTTCACTAAATACTTGTGCTTCCCTCGTGATTGGTGGTAAAGAATCCACCTGCCAATGCAGGAGACATGGGTTAGGTCCCTGGTCCAGGAAGATCCCCTGGAGAAGGAAATGGCAATCCACTCCAGTCCTCTTACATGGAGAATCCCATGGACGGAGGAGCCTGGCGGACTGCAATCCATGGGGAGCTAAGAATCGGACACGTCTGAGCGACTTCACTTTCACTTTTCACTGTCATGCATTGGAGAAGGAAATGGCAATCCACTCCAGTGTTCTTGCCTCGAGAATCCCAGGGATGGGGGAGCCTGGTGGGCTGCCGTCTTTGGGGTCGCACAGAGTCGGACACGATTGAAGCGACTTAGCGGCAGCAGCAGCATACATTATACATCAAACTTATTCTATAATACTTATCTTTATATCTCTTGATCAATCCTAACATGATAACTGGCATATAATAGATATTAATTAATGCATGTTGAGTGAATGAACAAAGGAATATCATTATTATTTACAAGGTAATTGTCCTCAAAGGGACTTCTGTAGATTCATTTCAGTAGGTCAGGCTCTCAAATCACAAATACTTCCTCTTTTCCCTCACAACGCTTTCCTTTATTTAAGGTTCAGAGACCTTGTTGAAGCTGTGTAAGGTGTCCCAGTTACAAAGAAGAAAAGATGGTGTATAATACGGTTTTTTTCTCTTAAAAGCCTGGTTTTGCTGCCACGCTCTTGTGCTCCTTATATGCTGGCTGTGAGCAAGACAAATCAGCCGGATTAAAAGTCTCTCCTTTTGTTCTGCTCTCTTCTCTGCAACTCTGTCCTAACAGGGATGTTGCCCCCATCTCTGCTTGTCCATCTGCCATGTTCATCAGTTGCTTCTCAGACTCAAGTTGTCATCATGGGGGTTCTCTAGGCAAGAATAGTGGAGTGGGCTGCCATGCCCTCCTCCAGGGGACCTTCCCAACCCAGGGGTGGAACCCAGGTCTCCCACATTGCAGGTGGATTCCCTATCATCTGAGCCACCAGGGAAGCCATCACGATAATAATAAGTAGTCACAGAGCTCTGACTCTGCACCAAGTCCTCCTCTGAGAACTCCACGTGCATCATCCGTGTAACCACCTGTGTTACGTGGGGTAAGCTTTATCTTCAGATATCTTGAACCCTATCTTCAAATATAGAAAATGGTTTTCAGGTGCTCACTCCAGGTCACACAGCTAATAAGCTGTGGAGGCAGGATTTTCACCTAGAGTTGCTAATGCAGGACCAGCATCTTTAGTCACTCTACAGTATTGCAGCATGGGCACATGATTTTTGGATTTCAGGCCCTAAACATTACCTGCATATTCGGATTCCTTAATAGGCCTGGCTGGTAAGATTTTCACTGATTGCCGGTCTTCTACCATGCGAAGCTCAGGGTCTTCATAGTCATCATCGGTGTGGCCTTTTGCTCCATCCAGGACTGCTATGGAATTCCTTTCCTAAGGAGGGGACATTTCAGTAAGTCAAGGAAAGGTACAACAAAGATTAGAGTCTACAGTGCTGGCCAGGGCAGTAATCGAGGTTCCCTTAGCTGTGAGTTAAAAATTTAAGAGTGTGGAGTCTGGGGGAGTTAACCTCTCACAGTGGCAGAATTGTAGCAATGTCCTTAGAAAGCATCATGGTGGTGTGAGACACTCCCTTTGTCTCTCCCCTTCAATCTACAACAATTAAGACGTCCATAACTCAACAAAGAATTGATGCTTTTAAACTGTGATGTTGGAGAAGACTCTTGAGAGTCCCTTGGACTGCAAGGAGATCAAACCAGTCAATCCTAAAGGAAATCAATCCTGAATATTCATTGAAGGATTGATGTTGAAGTCAAAACTCCAACGCTTTGGCCACATGATGCGAAGAACTGATTCCTTCAAAACCCTGGTGCTAGGAAAGAATGAGGGCAGGAGGAGAAGGGGATGACAGAGGATGAGACGGTTGGATGGCATCACCGTCTCTAAGGACATGAGTTTGAGCAAGCTCCGGGAGTTGGTGATGAACAGGAAAGCCTGGCGTGCTGCAGTCCATGGGGTCGCAAAGCATCAGACATGACTGAGCGACTGAACTGAACTGAACTCAACAAAGGTTCCTCTGCCCAGGACACTGCGACTCCAGGGAGACCCACATGTTTGTTCATCTGAAGAAGGCTAGATTGGAGTATAGAGAGTGGGTAGACGCAGGGGAAGAGTAGAAGCAGTGCCTGTAACCCTGAACCCCGGAAAACCTGGTGGCGCCCGCAGAGATGGTGCACAAGACTCTAGGTCGTGGCCACAGTGGTGCCTGTGACCACAGGGGTCTGGGCAGCAACCTCCAGGTGCGCCTGTGACGCTGCCACCTCCTGCCCATGACTGTATTACCTGGGTCCCCATCCCTTGCTATGGTAGCAGTTCCAATGTGCCAGCAGCACTGGACATGAAGATGTCAACGGCAGCAGTGACACTGGCATCGGAAAGGCACACCCAGTGTCCTCCGAGGCATAATCAGAAATGACAAGGGCACCAGTGACCACTCTGGTAGAAGCAGTGGAGGGTGGGAAGTGCCAATTCTCAAACAGAGCTGAGGTAAGGAAAAACAAAACTTTGTGCTTCAGCAGCATGTACTGAAAATCAGCAGAAAGGCCTCTAATGGCCCATGTGCGGATCCGCTAGAGTCGAAGTAAACAAAACTTTACGTAAACAAGAGGGGTATTTACTACTTCAGATGCTCTCGTAGAGGAACAACTCATCAAGCACCATGAAAAACCATGGTAACAGTCTCACACCATGAACATGACAATTATCCAGAAACCAAACTTGAAGTCACAGCAGACTATGATCTAACAGATGGAGAATTCAACAGAGCTGTCATGAAGAAACTCAGTTTTACAAGAAAACTCAGAAAGCAATTCAGTGAGCTCAGGAGTAAAATCAGTGAGCAGAAGCAATACTTAACAAAGAGACTAAACTCTAAAAAAGAACCAAACAGAAATTCTGGAGCTTGAGAACTCAATAAATGAAATGAAGAATGCATTAGAAAGCATTGGAAACAGAGCAGACCATATAGAAAGGCCTCTAATGGCCCATGTGCGGATCCGCTAGAGTCGAAGTAAACAAAACTTTACGTAAACAAGAGGGGTATTTACTACTTCAGATGCTCTCGTAGAGGAACAACTCATCAAGCACCATGAAAAACCATGGTAACAGTCTCACATCACGAACATGACAATTATCCAGAAACCAAACTTGAAGTCACAGCAGACTATGATCTAACTGATGGAGAATTCAACAGAGCTGTCATGAAGAAACTCAGTTTTACAAGAAAACTCAGAAAGTAATTCAGTGAGCTCAGGAGTAAAATCAGTGAGCAGAAGCAATACTTAACAAAGAGACTAAACTCTAAAAAAGAACCAAACAGAAATTCTGGAGCTTGAGAACTCAATAAATGAAATGAAGAATGCATTAGAAAGCATTGGAAACAGAGCAGACCATACGGAAGAGAGAATCAGTCAGCTCGAAGAAAGAAATCTAAAAATGATTCTCAGGTAGAAGAGGAGAAGGAACTAAGATTTTAAAGCAATGAAAAAAATTCTAAAAGAACTGTCTGATTCCATTAGAAAGAAGAAATATGAGAATAGTGGATATGCCAGAAGGGGAAGAGAGGGAGAAGGGAGCATTTATTTAAAAACATAATAGCTGAGAACTTGACAAACCTGAGGAAGGAACTGGATATACAAGTTCATGAAACTCATAAACACTTATTTATCATAATGCAAAAAGATCTTCTGCAAGACGCATTATATCAAAACTGATTATCAAAGGTCAATGATAAAGATTTTAAAAGCAGTCAGGGAAAAAAGATAGTCACCTACAAACATACTCCCATTAGACTACCAGCAGATATCTAAGCAGAACCTCTCCAGGCCAGGGGAGAGAGGAATGATATATTCAGAATTTGTTGTTTAATCACTAAGTCATGTCTGACTCTTTGAGACCCCATGGACCATAAGCCCACCAGGCTCCTCTGTCCATGGAATTCTCCAGGCAAGAATACTGGAGTGGGTGGGTAGCCATTCTCTTTTGCAGGGGATGTTCCCAACCCAGGGATCAAATCCACATCTCCTGCATTACAGGAGGATTCTTTATCACTGAGCTACCAGGGAATAGTCAAAAATACTGAAAGATAAAAGATGTCAGTCAAGAATACTCTACCCAGCAAAGTTACCTTTCAGATATAAAGGAGAAATAAAGGCTCTCCCAGACAAACAAACCTGAGGGAGTTCATCACCACTAGAGCAGCTTTATAAGAAATGTTGAAAAGAGCTCTTCTGCCTGAAATAAAACTGGTAAAAGTACACATACTTTGAGTAAGGTGATAAACTAGACCACCAGAAGTGTCTTAATGAGACAATGCATGTAAAATTTTGAGCAAAGTGCCTGATGGTCAGCACTCAATGAATACTAGCTGTAAATATTATTATGACTGCTACTGTGATAGCAGCCACTATTAAAGAACATCTGAGACAAAGGAAGCCTACCAATCATGCTTTGTTCACCTCCCTTTAAAGCCTCTCTAACACTTAAGAAGTTTATATGTCCTAGGTGCTTTCTGTACTTTATTTCTCTGATCATTCAGCACAAAAGGGTGGAATGCAATTTAGTAAGTCTGTGTTCTTCACGAGACAGCGTAAATCTGTCTAGTATCTGTCTACTGTTAATATCGGGGATTCTTTCTAAAACCTCAGTATATATAAGCCTTCTACTTTATAAAATATTTTGGGATTGATTGATTGTATATGCATGTATGCATGCATGCATGTGTGTGTGTGTGTCCTAGGGTGAGGACTCATAGCTTTAATTTAATTCTTAAAGAATTAAAGTAAAGAAAAGTAAAGAACCAAAGATTTTACAGGTAAATTCTATCTATCTATTCATATATCTGTCATCTATCTATACATCTATCTCTCTCATTTCTATCTATTCCATTTATCGTCTATAGATACGTTAAAGCTATTTGAATTATGTACACATAATTTTTTAACAATTAACTTATTTATAATATTAGCATTTCACATTATAAGTTTAAAACTTTCTTTTAGTCATTAAAATTCTTTGCAAATATTATTAATGGAAGATGGTTAAAACTCAGCCAAAAAATGAAGATCATGGCATCCAGTCCCTTCACTTCATGGCAAGTGGGTGGGAAAAAGTGGAAACAGTGTCAGATTTCATATTGTTGGGCTCCAAAATCAACTTGGACGGTGACTTCAGCCAAGAAATGAAAAGATGCTTGCTCCTTGGAAGAAAAGCTATGATAAACCTAGACTGCATATTAAAAAGCAGAGACATCACTTTGCTGACAAAGGTGTGTATAGTCAAAGCTATGGTTTTTCCAGTAGCATGTGTGGACTTGACAGATGGACCATAAAGAAGACTGAGCACTGAAGAATTGATGCTTTCAAACTGTGGTGCTGGAGAAGACTCTTGAGAGTCCCTTGGACTGCAAGGAGATCCAACCAGTCCACCCTAAAGGAAATCAGTCCTGAATATTCACTGGAAGGACTGATGCTGAAGCTGAAGCTCTGATACTTTGGCTACCTGATGTGAAGATCCAATTCATTGGAAAAGACCCTGATGCTGGAAAAGATTGAAGGCAGGAGAAGGGGAAATAGAGGACAAGATAGCTGCATGGCATCACTGACTCCACGGACATGAGTCTGAGCAAGCTCCAGGAGATGGTGAAGGACAGGGAAGCCTGGTGTGCTGCAGTCCATGGGGTTGCAAAGAGCTGGACACAGCTGAGCGAATGAACAACAGAACAATGTGAATATATCATAATATATTCAATGATTTTTCTATTATTGAATATATAACATGATTCCAGTGTGTTGCCATTTAAAGTATATTATAAAGCATAAATGAGTATTTAATTATTAATCCAAGTTTTAGGTTAATTCTTTAATTTGTCCCATAGGATTATGGGATTGAAGAAAATGAGTATTTTTATATTTGTTAATCTTATAAAATTGCTTTCCAAAGAATTTCTTGTTATTTAAAATTTCACCATGAGTGTTGGGAAGTGCTTTTCTCACCACACACTTGCCAGCACCATGTGTTGGCATTTTCGCTTTAATTAGTCTTCACAATGACCATTATGAGTTTATTTTTATCTCCATTTTGCAGCTGAAGAATTGAAATTTTTTTTGTCTTTTTCTGTATTAATGCCTCAATATATTTATTTATTTATCCTGCTTTACCAAGAAATAATTGACATACATCACTGTATATGTTTCAGGCATACAGCACAATAATTTGATTTACATGTATTGTAGGAATACTGTGTTCTACCTAAGACTTGAAATGCACTTTTCTCTGCCAGGAAAGCATGCCACTTGGAAAAGTTTAATTTTTTACAATTCACCGAGTACTTAGGAAAAAAACCACTTATTTTGTAAATATCAAAGACTGACAAAATAGATAAAGAAAGCAGCTGACTTACACCATCAAGAAGAGGCTCATTAATAGTCTGGTACTGTCCTGCCAACAAAAACAGCAAAATGTTATTGCAAAACATTGGAAAGACTGGGCCCTTGTTTTTCTCCAGAAATCTTGTGCTCATTTCAGTTAATTGTTCTTGACTGTAATTGCTCAAAATGAAGTGCACATTTTCATGCTTCTCGCTCTATCAGCTGCTCTTGCCTAACAGGGGCAATTGGAAGAGCAGGAAAGAAAATAAAATCCCAGCTCAGAAGCCTGGTTCTTTCTACAGCAGTTCAACCTTCCCACTGAAAGAGAAGTAAAGTTAGAAGGAACCCCGATCCACTATAAGTTGCACTCAAGTGATGACTCAGCAGCGTCTCAGCCAAGGACCTGGGGTGCTGTCCCCTCCCCCTCTGACATACATACTGCATTTGTCGTAATCTATCCACACATTGTTATCTATCCATACACTGTTTTCCTGAACAGACTACAAGGTTTGAGCTTCAGTTCAGTTCAGCTGCTCAGTCGTGTCCAACTCTTTGCGACCCCATGGACTGTAGCAACCCAGGCCTCCCTGTCCATCACCAACTCCCAGAGTTTACCCAAACTTGTGTCCATAGAGTCGGTGATGCCATCCAACCCTCTCATCCTCTGTCATCCCCTTCTAGTTTGAGTTTAGGGATGGTATCTACTTATTTGTCTCTCCCTGGCTTCAGGTGCAGGGTCCAATATGGACCACATGAGTTCTTGATAGGCATTTGTTGAATAAATATTGCTCTGTGGGGGTGCTTCAACACTCAACTGCTTCTTTGGAACTTGATTGCTGAAAGATTGCCTGAAGGTTATCTACTGCAGTCAGGGTAAATGTTTCACATTTTACCCTCAGATTATGCAAAACCACCGAAGAATTGCTCGCATGGCCTACAGGTATTTTTGCTTCTTCATAGACTTAATTTTCCTAAATTGCAGTATAGGTTCATGCTGCTAGTCTGAATTTAGGAACATTGTAGGCAGAAAATGTTCTTTTCACGTTCTCTTTATTAGCACATATGTGAGAAGCTTCTAGTAGGTCTCAGGACCAGAGGCTGCATACAGCTTAGCTTTTCGTTTGCTTTTTTTATTTTCCCATTTATTTTTATTAGTTGGAGGCTAATTACTTTACATCATTACAGTAGTTTTTGTCATACATTGACATGAATCAGCCATGGATTTACATGTATTCCCCATCCCGGTCCCCCCTCCCACCTCCTTCTCCACCCGATCCCTCTGGGTCTTCCCAGTGCACCAGGCCCGAGCACCAGGTTGGGTGCATGAGACAAGTGCTCGGGCTTTTCGTTTGCTCTGAGTGAAGGAAAAGCATCAGTCCTAGAAAACAGCATATTTCCCTTCCTTCTTTGGCTGATGAGACTCTCAGGGCAAAGTTCTGGCCTGTGTGCAAATAGTGTAGAGGACTGTGGCATGATATGTCCTGCTACCTTTTGGTCCGGTTTCATCCTGTTCTTTAACTTTTGTTCACTCACCCCAAATTCTCTTCCCGCATGTGTGTACTAACTTGTTTCAGTCATGTGTGACTGTTTGCGAAGCTGTGGACTCTAGCTCGCCAGGCTCCTCTGTCCATGGGATTCTCCCGACAAGAATACTGGACACCTCCTGGCAACAAGGAGGGTCGCCATGCCCTCTTCCAGGGGATCTTCCTGACCCAGAGATCGATCTGGCGGCCCTTGCGGTTCCTGCATTGGCAGGCGGGTTCTTTACCACTAGTGCCACCTGGGAAGCCCTGTCTTCCCCTACCAAAACACAAAATTAATAGCTGTGAATTTGTGTCAGCATGCCCAAGTCTTTTGTAAGGTATAAGGTGTAAATTCATGAAACTTTGGCTCAGCGGAAACGCAGTTCTCTGGAATTTGCCTAGGACTCAAGTATGGGGCAAGTGTCAAGTGGCCAAATCTAATCTCCTTGAGACAGTGAGCCGGGAGGTGTGGAATCCTGTCTGTACTGTCCATCGTCAATCCTGGCGGTAGGACAGCAGTGACCATCCCCCGGCACTAATACCATCCTCCTGTCCCAGTACAGTTACACCCACTACTGAGATCCCTGGCAGAGGAACCCACAGGTTTTTCAGCCCTTTAGCAATTTGTACTCTCTCATGAGGAGAGGGAAATGGCAACCCACTCCAAGATTCTTGGCTGGAGAATCCCATGGACAGGGGAACCTGGCAGGCTACAGTCTGTGGGGTCGCAAGTCAGACACAACTTAGCGACTAAACTGCTACTACTAAAATTCGCATTGGAGAAGGAAACGGCAACCCACTCCAGTATTCTTGTCTGGAGAATTCCATGGACAGAGGGGCCTGGCGGGCTGCAGTCCATGGGGTCACAGAGAGTCAGACATGACTGAGTGACTAACACACACACACACATATACACTCGCTCTCATGAATTAAGTGAATAAAGTCACCCGTTACACCAGCCGGTCTGGCAGGAGCAAATGAGCAGAGAATTATTGGGGAATTTCTCTGATCTTCGTGGTCCAGCTCAGCAGCACCACTAAGTTCAGGTTCAGTGTCATTTCATTTTAGGAGATTGGCCTCCTTGAGCGTGGTCATTGTACCCACGTCTTCATGGAGAGCTGAGGCATCTCTTCTTTCAGCAGCATGGCAGTCTGAGCCCCTCTTGGATTCCCCATGTACGGTACATGTCCCTTCTGAGTCTTTGCTTATGTTGATTCCACCTGGACTCCCTGCCTCCTCCGTTTTGTTTTCCAAAATGCTCAGTGTCCTTTGAGATCCTCCTGGGGCTTCCCTTTCTGACCACTCCGGGTTACTTTCATCTCGCTAAATCGTTAGAGGTGTTGTTTCTTGTCTCACTCACCACGACACTTAAACAGAAAGAGGTAGCATCTGATTGCTTCTTTGTTGTATACACACGCTGTCCTCCTGTAGGGAAGGGAGTGGATTGTCTTTTATCTCTGTGACCCTCAGTACTTCTCTGTGTTGTGAGCAATGCGGAGTTTTGGAAATATAATTTTAAAAACACAGTTTTGAATCTGTTAATCAGCTCCCATCACTCATGGCCCACGAAACAGAGTCCAGACTTCCTGCTGTGGCTCCTGGAGGCCAGCACAGCCCAGCTCCTGCCCTGTCTCTGGTCTCCTCTATTTCCAGTTTCTTCTTCCTCTGAACTCCAGGCACATCAGCCTCTTTTCAAGTCCATGCTGTATGCTAAGCTCCTCTACCTCTGAGACATTGCATGCACTGTCTGCCAGTCCAGAATGTTCTCTTCTCAGCTCTGCCCAGGCCTGGATCCTTCTCACCCATCACTGTTGTTGTGTAGTTGCTGTTTAATTGTGCCCAAGTCTTTGAGACCCCATGGACTGCAGCACACCAGGCTTCCTTATCATTCACCATCTGCTGGAGTTTGCTCAAATTCATGTCCGTTGAGTCAGTGATGCTATCTAATCATCTCATCCTCTTTCACCCCCTTCTCCTGCCCTCAATCTTTCCCAGCATCAGGGTCTTTTCCGATGAGTCAGCTCTTCGCACTAGGTGGCCAAAGTATTGGAGCTTCAACTTCAGCATCAGTCCTTCCAGTGAATATTCAAGGTTGATTTCCTTTAGGATTAATGGGTTTGATCTCCTTGCAGTCCGAGGGACACTCAAGAGTCTTCTCCAACACCACAGTTCAAAAGCATCATCCATCATACTGTATTTTAAATGTCATCTGCCCTGGGGGACCATCCCTGGCTATCAACATGAGGTAAAAATTAGGAGCACCCTCCAGCTGTGGTCCTCACTATCTCAGCAACCGGCACAGTGATGAGAAAGCTGTGTGCTCTTCAAACCCCGTTTGCTTGGACACACAGTTCCTGGTGTCCCTTCCACTGGGTGCCCTTGGCTTGGTGCTGTGGCCACTGGGACACGGTGGGGGTGATAGATTCTACTCCTGGCCATCCTGCTTGACCTCCATCTCTCACTCTTGCCCCAGTGGCTGGCCAGAGACAGAGGACCCCAAGGCCCTCCGGGATAATGGAAGCCACTGGGAAAAAGCAGAGTGAATCCTGAATGAGTGTTTGGAAAAAGTATGAGTGTTAGTTACTCAGTCATGTCCGACTCTTTGTGACCCAATGGACTGTAGCCCACCAGGCCCCTCAGTCCATGGGATTCTCTAGGCAAGAATACTGGAGTGGGTTGCCATTCCCTTCAATTTCCATTGGATTGTGATGTGAGCAAGAAATAAACCTTTATTTTATTAAACTACTAAGTGAAAGTGAAGTAGCTCAGTTGTGTGACTCTTTGTGATCCCATGGACTATAGCCTACCAGGCTCCTCCATCCATGGGATTTTCTAGGCAAGAATACTGGAGTGGGTTGCCATTTCCTTCTCCAGGAGATCTTCCTGACCCAGGGATTGAACCCGGGTCTCCCACATTGCAGGCAGACGCTTTACTGTCTGAGCCACCGTGGAAGCAGAACCACTAAGCTCTGTAGTTCATGCATTATAGATGTTAGTCCTCCCTGGTTAATATACCCTGCGCGGCTTCTCCACAGCATGTAGGAACAAAGCTAGCCGACAAATATACTACACAGTTACAGACAGTGCTTGCCTTTCCCAGGCAGTGGTGAGACCCCAGGCTCTGACTGCTCCTTAATTCTGTGTATGGTAAGTGACAATAAATGAATAGTCGGCTGCGGAAACACCCAGGACATGGAACCAGTGATGGAACTTCAAGATGAACTTGATTCTTTCCCTTGCTGAGCGAACTTGACTTTGGCACTCTTTCTTGCTGGGCCCAGATCCTCACCCTAGTGACTTCCCCCCAATTCTTCCAGGTCTTTGAGTCTTTCTGGGACTGACAGATAGGTTGGCTTCTCAGAGAGAGAGAGCTGTTCGCTAGAAAGATGAGGAAGCTGCCCAGCAGCTTTCCACGTCACCATCCTAGGACAGTGATGGAGATGCTGTGTCAGTGGAGGGTCCCTCATCACCCACTGGCACCCCCGGGCCCCGGAATTTTGCCTTTTTTTTTTTCTTCAGGGGGCCTTTTTTTTTTTTTTTTAAACAA